ACGAGGGCAGTGAATGTACAAATGTGTTTTACACAATTGATGTATAAATGGATTGCGATAAGAGTCGTCTGAGCCCCTAGTAAAAAGATTTTTAAAAAAGAAGACTATCTGAGGGAGTTTAGCCTGTCAATCAGGTGGCAGCTGGATGACCTCCTTTGGAGTTGTGACTGAGATCAATGGTCTCTGGAGGCTGGTCCCTCTCTCTAGTTTTACCTTCACTTCCCTGTTGAGGAACCACACTGCGACCTGCGCAGCAAGCCCTGTGATGCAGCCGCTGCCATTGAATCCACACAGTTCTCCACCCACCAGCCTGTGGTCTTCCTGTATTCCTCATCATTGCAAGTGGCTGTGTGCATCTGAAGAGGGACTTACGGACAGTATCTGACTTATGGACTTGAGTTGGACGAGGCTGGGATGTTTTATTGATGCACCATGACTTCTGGATATAAAGTTATTTCATATATATATCTATCTGGATATAAAGTTATTTTATATATATATATATCTGGATATAAAGTTATTTCATATATATATATCTGGATATAAAGTTATTTCATATATATATATCTGGATATAAAGTTATTTCATATATATATATATCCCTGGATTTAAAGTTATTTCATATATATATATAAATAAATGTCCCTGGATTTGTTTCTTTAATCAACCTGGCCTAAAACACTGTAGACCATATATATATAAATGTCCCTAGATTTGTTTCTTTAACCAACCTGGCCTAAAACCCTGTAGGCCAGTTGCTTTTTTAAAATGTTGAAAGAAGAATTCATCTTTCTTTGGAGGCTCTGGTAGATGTTAACCAGAGCAGGGCCACAGCTGTGCCCACCTGCTTTTAGCTGAACAGCCTTTGCTGATGATGACAGATGTTTTCTGGTGGAACAGAACATGCCATGCATTAGGGTTACTTCTGACCCTGACTCTCAGAGGCTGACCTGTATCACTAGGTGAGCTGTCTCCCTAGCATGGGAATGGAATGTCTCTTCAAGTAGTGAGATCTTAGTTTATTTTGAGAAGCCCTGTTGGCACCAAGCTTTAAAGTGCTTCACTGCTAACCAAAAGTTTGCTGGTTCTTGGCCAGCCACCTGGCTCTTGGCAGGAAAAATATAGGAGTCGGTGTGTCAGTCTAGGTAGACTAGAGAAACAAATCCATACACATGCATACCCGTATAAGAGAGAGTTTTATATAATGGGTAATTGTACATTAAGAAAGCATCCCAACCCAGTCCAGTCCAAGCCCATAAGTCTGCTATTAGCCCATATGTCTGATACCATTATATAAAGTCCTCTTCAGACTCACGAAACACATGCAATGGCGCCAAGTGCAGGATGATCACAGGCCATGGGTAGAAAGTCTTTGGGTCTAGTACCATTGTAAGCATCTCGGTGCTGGCAGGGGTCTGCAGGTGGCTTGTCCAGCTCCCAGGGTGTACCACCATGTGTCTCTCAGTAGAGCGTCTCCAAGGGAGTGAGCAGAGAGAGAGAGACGCATCTCCTGCCTCCAAGGAGGAAGAAAAGGAATTCCCAGAATTCTCTGGAGAAGGCCATGCCCACACAAAGGCCTCCTTCGCTACGATCTGATTGACAGACTAGACTCCATTCCTTCACCCTTAATCCTCTCAAGTCCCAAATTGACACTAGATTATGTAACTACCACAATCTGCTTCTGTAAAGATTTATCCCTCTGGAAATTTTCTGTGGGTAGTTCTCTGCTCTGTAGGATCACTATAAGTCTGAATTAGTACAGTGGCAATGCACGTATTTGGTATTAGTATTGATTTGGCTTAGCTTGTCCTGCCTTAGAGGCAATGGGTCCAACCTAGTTTGAAAATAAGCCTTAAGCACACCTTGACCCACCAAGCCTTAAGGACAATATCCCTGCTCAGAGCAGCCAATGCACAGGGAGGAATTTAACAAACCCAGGGATAAGGGAATAACAAGCTGGTCCCACTACAAGAAACAACATCCCTCACTGACCCATAGCCCTATGGTGGACAACACTGGAGACACAGTGTGCGCATTGTGCCCGGTCTGACCCCACCACACTGAGGCAAAACACTAAGGGCATACAACAGAACAGCAAGGGGAGCAGAGCAAGAAAGTCCCAAGGGAATACCAAAAATAGATTTGGGGGCCAGGGTTTGGCACCCCATCAGACTGACCAGGAAAACACTCCTAAAGGTCAACAAACAGACCTTGAACTATTTACAGGCTATTCTTCTTTTTTGTCATGGTTTGTTGTTATTGTTGTTTTGTTTTCTTTTGTTGCTTTTTTTGCTCTGTTTTGTTTTCTATGCACATTATTAAATTTGCAGGTCTATCTAGATAAGATAGGTGGGATCAACAATCTGGAGGAGAAAACAATGGACCTAGAGTTCTGGGGGGACATGGGAGAGGGGGAAGTGGGGGAAAGGAAGTGGGTGTTAACAAACCCAGGGATAAGGGAATAACAAGTGATCCAAAATCGATGGTGAGGCAGGTGTAGGAAGCCTGGTAGGGCTTGATCATGGGCAATGTAACTGAGAGGAATTACTGAAACCCAAATGAATGCTAAGCATGATAGTGGGACAAGAATAAAGTAAAAGAAAACA